AACCCCTCACCTGGCGCTGAGATGCGGCCATCTCTGGGGTGGGGCGCGGGGGCTGGTTGTACAAACCCCGCTCTCTTTCTGGGTAGAACCCAGGTGGCCGGGCTCCCAGCACGTACCATAATGCACCGGGACCAGCCGGGGTGGGACGTATTTCCGGACCCCTCCTTTGGCCAGGGGCTTCTTCCCAGCAGCTTTGCCTTCAGTCCCGTCCGCCTCCTCCTCGTCACTCAGCTGCCGGAGAGAAAACAGCCTGTCAATCAAGGGCTGGCCCCGCCCTCCCCCCCATGGCAGGCCAATCTCAGGGGAATGTGGGGAACCCCATTCCTCCTTCCAGAGTCAAGACAGAGCCCAGGAGTCCTGGCTCCCAGCCCCTCCCCTGCTCTAACCACTAGACCCCACTCCCTTCCCAGAGCTGGGGATGGAAGCTAGGAGTCCTGCCCCTGCCCCTCCCCCTCACCTTGCTCATCATGTTCCCGGGGTCTGGTTTGAATCTCAGCGGATTGTCGTCTCCTGCAACGAGAGCGCCCCGGGGGGGGGTGGTCAGCAGGGGGCCCGGTCACCCCGCACCCCACCCCCCTTGGTGCCCCCAACTCACCCACGGCGCCCGTCACAGCCGCCTTCACCAGCTTGTCAACCTGGTACCGGAGTTTCTGCTCAATGGGCCGCATCTTCTCCAACACCTGGGGGGGGGGGGGAGAGGAGGAAGAGTGTGGTGAGGGGTCAGACGTGGAGAGACCCTGCCCCCTAAGAACCACCCACTGCACCCAGGAGTTCAGGCTCCCAGACCCCTCTGCTCTAACCACTAGTCCCCCTCTCCTCTCAGCCAGGATAGAACCCCAGAGTCCTGGCTCACAGCCCCACCCCCACCCCTTTACACACTCTAACCACTGGACCCCACTCCCCTCCCTGAGCCAGGGATAGAACCCAGGAGTCCTGGCTTCCAGCCCCTCCCCCTGTTCTAACCACTGGACCCCACTCCTCTCCTGGAGATACCCTCCAGAGCCAGAACCTGCCCTCCAGCAGTTTTCCCCCACCCCCCCCAAGACCTCTCCCCCAGGCCCCCATAGGCTCCGTCGCCCACCCACCGTGCGCAGCTCGGCCAGGCGCAGGACAGCTGGCTGGGCCACCAGGGACCGGCCAGAGGTCTTCTCCAGCACCAGCTGGGCCAGGTCCTGGAGATAGAACAGCAGCAGCTGGGCCTTCAGCTCCAGGAAACTCAGCCCCTGTGGAAGGGGGAGAGGCATCAAGGGGGGCCAGGATGGGGACACCTGAGAGAGGGACAGGGACAGGATTGGGGGACACCCGGGAGAGAGACAGGGCAGGATGGGGGGGGACACCTGGAGGGGGGGGGTCTAGCGTCAGAGTAGGGGGCGGATCACCATGGGGAGGGAGAAGAGGACGCAGCAGGTCCCCACCTGAGCTCTCACCTTCTCCGTGGGGAAGGCGCCGGCCCGGACCCGCTGCAGCAGCCCCTGGACATGGGCCGTGACCCCGACAACCTGGGGGGGGGAAGAAAGGGGTTGAATCGGGGCCTTTTCCCTGGGGGGCAGCAACGATCCAGGATCTGGGGGGGTCGGGGTCTCTCTCACCTGCTCCTGGAGTGATCCCAGCAGGGCCAGTGCGGGGGGCAGGTCGGACACCAGCTGTTCCTGCAGGGTGGGGAGACTTTAAACCGAGCCACCCCCGCTACTCCCCCTCCCACCAGTGCACCCCCAGCCTCCCCGTGTGCCCCACACCCGGATCCCCTCCCATGTGCCCCCCTGGACCTCCTCCCCCAGCCCGCCCCCGTGCGCCCCCTCCAGAGCTCCCCCCATACCCCACACCCGGCTCCCCTCCCCGTGCGCCCCCCAGTCCCCCGT